GCATCAGACCAGCATCCCCAGAGTCAATAACCGTTTATCCCTTTAATATTGTATGAAAAATAAACTTTAAACTATCTCAACGGGCGTGTATCCCTTTAGTCATGTACGAAAAAACTATTTAATTACTTACTTTTTGGTGTTTTTTGAAGCTTTAATTGTTAGTCTTTTTTTGTACCTTGCTAAATTGATTCATACCCGTTGAGTTTAATTTTTCCTAAAGGGATAAATGCAAATCTGGCGTTTTGCGCTTGCATATTGACTATAGGTATGCTGGGATATGCTCATCTGACAGAACACTGGTTAAATCACCTGAAATGGTCCCTAAATGACCTCCGACCCCTCCTTGGAAAGGTCTGAGCCTCTAGTTTCCATTAGGGGGCGGGGCTAAAATGAATACCTGCTGTTGCATTACTCCCCCAGAGTTACATATTTTAGGCGGATTTTTAAATCTACTTTTATTTGTTTACACAGCTATAAAACACAAATATTTGTGAAAAAATAATTTTGAAAGATGTTTTAGAAATTTTAAAGCCCCATTTGAAAGGCGTGTGGATGAAACACCATGTGACTGTTTTTGCTATTTTTATAAATTGATAAACATCAGCTGGTGATTGTTGGGCGCTGTACCAGGCCCGCCAGGCTCAAGGGGTTAAAGAATCTTTGACTATACAATTATTAATCAATTAATTGAAAAAAATGATCATCAGATTAATCGATTGGCAAAATAATGGTTAGTTGCAGCCTAGTCTGATTGTTTTAAAGAAGGATCGGATCTGGCTTCCTGTCATTGCTCACGTTTCGTATGGTCTGTCATCTCTTCAACACGCTCTCTCAGGGTTCTGCAGTTGATGAACCTGACAGACTCGCGGCTCGCTCAGGCGGGCAACGAGAGACTGGAGCTGGCTATGCTCAGCTTCTTCGAGCAGTTCCGCAAGATCTACATCGGCGACCAGGTGCAGAAATCCTCAAAGGTGAGCGACCCCAGAAAACCCAGTGACCGCCGACTGTCTGGCGTCCACTGACACCTGCTCTCCCTCTCTAAGGCACAAACTGCTCATTCTGACCTCTGCAGATAAGTGGTGAACGTAGAGCGTGTTGGTGGTGGTTGGTAGTCGTGCCTGTTAAAAAAACAAGCCAGTTTGTCTGAATCTAGAGATCCTCACTGCAAAAAACATCTAGAAATGAGTAAAAGTGTATTCACCCTTAATTTGAGTAGGTAAATAAGATGATCTACCAATGGAAGGAGAATTTTTTTAATCCTAAAATAAGATAATTAGATGATATGCACTTGAAATAAGACAAGTTTTTTATGTTAAATGTAAATTGTTTTGTTCCATTGATAAACTCTTACTTACCTGCTCAATTCAAGAAAATAATGCAGTTATTTGAAGAAAAAATTAGATTTATTGTTTTTTGCAGTGCAGAAGGTTTTCTCAGTAAAACTGAATGATAGTCAGAAGACTTCAGGCTGAAACGGAGATTAATGCTGCATTCGCATCGCAAGCAGCAGAGGCAGCAGAAGTTGGGTTGTTTACGTCCAAAGTCAATGGTTGACGCGCATCACGGTGCAGCAAAGGGTCCCACAGGGCGTCGGAGCAGCTGAAGCAGCGCCTCACCAGCTTCTGAGCATCTGACGCGCTTCAGAACCAGCAGCTGCTGGAGTTGGAAAAATGTAAATTTTGGTGCTGGACGCGCCACATCAACCAATCAGAGAAGCTGATCTGGGAGCTGGCAGGGAGATAGACACAGCATTGCTGATGCAGAGCGCTATGATCACTCCTCTGAAACTATTTAACGCCTAAATTAAATCAAAATGTTGAAACCTGCCAGCAAAATATGTTGGCTTTTATTATGTCGGTGCCTGCAGTTTGGATTAAACGCCTTCCAGCTGCCGTGAACAGTAGTGGAAAACCGCAAAGAGGCGAGCAGGCCTGAGGCAGTCACTGCCGGTTATTTGAAGGCAGGATGGTAATCTGGATGAACTGACTGCACAGATGAAATTTTCAGGTGGACTTTCTCACAAAAAAAAACATATTAAAACTACTTTTTTAAACTACTGATCACAGCAATAACAGCTGTCATTATTACAGGCAAAGAAAGGATAGGTTAGCTCCGCCCAAAACGCATCAGCCCGACTTTTCGACCACGCAGTTACATCAGCAGATGCTTCATCTGCGCATCAGAACTAAGCTTTTACAGCATCAAAAATGAAGCACTATGCACGTTTTAGCTGCTTCTGCTGCTTACAGTCTGAAAGTAGCATAAGTCAGAATTTCAAAGACCTTCTGCAGAATTTGAGCCTCATACAATGTGACCAATCTCTCCTGCTTTAGCCCACAATGAGAAAATAAAATAGTTTAATGACCATAAATGTCTCCACGGGATCCCACCAGGCTGCTTAGGTCTGTCCTGGTGTTTACTGGAACCACTGGAGTTCTTTACAGTCTCTCCCTTCTTTCTGTAAACTGAGTGGAACAGAATGTTTTACTGGGAAAGCATCTTAAGCACAGTTTATGCTGGACACAGAAATGAGACGCTTGGACTGCCGTTTTTATCCAGTGGGACGTCTACAGCGAGCTAGCAGTACTACGCTAAATAAGGAGTTAGAAAACAGTGGTGATATTTATGGGCTAAAGCGCATGATTTCTCTAGAGGAAATCATTTGCCTGTGGGAGTGGTCTATCATTTTGTTCATGGCCGCTCACACTGAGCCTGGTTCTGCTGGAGGTTTCTTCCTTTTCAAAGGGAGTTTTTTCTCTCCACTGTCGCTACAAGCATCCTTAGTGTGAGGGATTGCTGAAGAGTCAATGAGTCGATGCAATCAACTGGTTTTCCTATAGAAATCATTTAATCAATTTGAATGTAATATCTGGTTGAACTGTAAAGTTCCTTGAGATGACATTTTTTTAATTGGCGCCATAGAAATAAACTGAATTGAATTCATATCTATGTAGTTTCAAATTTTCCTAGGACTGCGGTAAGAAATTCTGTCCCGCCGCTGTACAGCCATTTGGACCTTGCAGATGCGTGCAGCCTAAGCCAAGCTTTAAACTGACCCTTGTTCCTGAGGGAGGCCAGCAGACGTCCAGAACCTTCTCCTTAGGAAGGAAGATCTGAGCCAAACTGATCCGAGTTTCTCTGGTTTCTTTTCCAGCTTTATCGAAGATTATCAGAAGTTCTGGGGTTAAACGACGAGACGATGGTCCTCAGTGTCTTTATAGGCAAGATGTAAGCACCCTCCTCACTGCTTCCACGTTTCTGAGGATCAGTTTAGATCACTTTGACTCTAAAATGTTTCTTTCTTTCTTCCAGAATCACCAACTTGAAGTACTGGGGTCAGTGTGAACCAATCACCTCCAAAACACTCCAGCTGCTCAATGACCTCTCCTTAGGATATCCTTTCTGACTGGAAATGTGTGTTTGCTAAAGAGTTAGCCTTTTTATGCTAACGTTTATGATTGCTCCAGTGTGGTCCATGGTGGGAAGTGTGTGTTTGCTAAAGAGTTAGCCTTTTTATGCTAACTTTTATGATTGCTCCAGTGTGGTCCATGGTGGGAAGTGTGTGTTTGCTAAAGAGTT